AAGGCATGCTTCAGCGTTGTGTTAAGATTTCATGACAAAGGGTTCCTAAGGGAAGGACTATTTGGTCAATCTGTGCAGTGTCTAAAAGTGACACTAAGGTTAGGCCGCAAGGGCTAAGTGTGTGGAAAGATATATTAAAAAGAGTCAAATGGTGGTGACTCTTAGGTTGGGTAGGCTAATGATGTAGGGATCAAGCCCCCAAGTCTAGCTCTAAGTGAATAGGGATGAGCATTGGAGATCCTTTGATATGATCATGGTGTTAGTTTGTGAATGTGAATATGAATGCATGTTTATTACGGCTGCACCTCGATGTGAGATTGCCTACGTATCCGTTAGGAATCAGGCCAAACATAGCTCTAGCCGAACCTCGCACAAGTATGTGTATACCTCCAAAAGGTCTTTTTAAGGGTTGTAATGTGGTTAGGCTAAAGGTTTAAATAAGAAGGGGATAAAGGCTCAAGACCCTAGATAAGCCCCAAAGGTGTTGACAGGCTAAAGTCGTATCACCTAATGAAAAGTAATTCCTAAAACCACTAACTAAATAATAGATAGGGAAGTAGGGCCGAATCCACAGGGAAACAAGTCTTTTTATTCCTAATTAATTAAAGCAATCTAAATTGTAAAGTAACCAATATATTATAATCAAAGGAAATTAAACTACTGAGATTAAGAGTAAAGAGAAAACAATGAATAAAAGACCTAGGGCATAGGTTCACCAATAAATAATATTCCAGGGAAAAACATACTAATCAATCATCAATGCATCAATTAATCAGATCATAATAAAGGGCTTTCACTACGTATTACAATCACAGAATTAATCTATCGGTATTAAATCGCATCTCTCAAATCTTGATGTAACCATTTATAAATTTACCTGCCTATTGACACTAATCCTAAACATCAATTCTCATCTCTCGAATCTCGAATCAATATTGCATAAATCATACAATTAAACCAGCGCTAATCTAATTGCATAGTATTAAATCAATCAATAGGAAATTAACCAAAAACATTGACAATCAACAATAATAAATTAACCTTTTATATTAATCATGGATCCCCAAGAACCCTATAATTAAACTACTCATGCATAATTAAAACTAACCTAATTAAAGAAAGTATGATTAATAAACAATTAAATAAAACAATTAAATTAAGCATATAGAAAACAATAATAAAGAAACTAACACGAAAGCAACCAAAATAAACTATAATCAAAACAAAGAACCAAAAATTAAACTTACAAATAATGAAATTATCGTCACGAAAACCAATAAACTAAATAAGTTAAACTATGAAAAACAAATATCAAAAGTTGCGTAAATACTGGAAACTAAAAACTAAAGTTAACTCCTAAAAATAAACAATCAAATTCCACTTGAACTAAAACTAAAGAAAAGCCTAGGTAACAAATAAAGAACTAAAATAATAGAAAGCTTACCTAACCTCCCCCCTAATACTCTATCCTTTTTATAAGGAAAAATAGCCCAAAAGCTGCGTGAATCTGAAGGCCACTAAAGTCGGAAGCCGACTAAAGGAAAGCTGGAGTAAGGCCCAAGGAAATCGAGCCCATCAGCTTAAACGTGCCTCATCTAACCCAGCCAGTTGCTGCCCGATTGGGCCCATTTATTTATTACGTCCAAAAGGTTTCAATTTGGGCTTTTAGAGATTATTAGCCCCAGTTTCTTCACTTGCTTGGTCCGTAATAATAACTTGTATAATCTTGTAAAATCTTGGACCTCTTCATAAATGGAGTCCTTAATCACCGAACTAAATTTCTTTAACTCGGTCTTGGACTTTAAATATACGGTCATAAAATACGCTCTGACTCTAATATCTTCGTAGTGGTTTAATTAGCTCGGAGAAATTATCATAAATCTGCAAATTCCTATAAAATAATACCAAACCTACAAAAACATTAGAAAACATATATTAGTAATAAAAATAACTCCGTAAAGCTCAAATAAGCACAAATATGACCGTGGGACGGGGAATAAAAATATATATATATATACACTCATCAAACTCCCTCAACCTAAACCTTTGCTTGTCACTAAGCAAAGCAATGAATAAATAAATCAATACTTCATCCCAAAAACAATTTAAATTAATAAATATAATTCATGGTAAATTTGACAAACATGTATCAAAGTCAACCAATCAAATCCATCCAACTACCAATCTTTCCTAACAATTGTCAAATAGAGCAAACCACAAGAGTATATAGAATTCAAGACTAGTGCTCACACATTCAACTCTCATCTATGTGACAAGTAAAAGATGTACTCGATCGCTCTCCAACCAACCACTTTAATGTGAACAATGCCCTCTCAAACTCACAACACTCGTGTGTTTAAAGAGATAAGCACTCAACCTACTAGTCGACTCGAAATATATCAAATCATTCTTTGCATTGATAAAAAACTAATTTTACATTCACACAATTCTATGCACAAAGGTCGGAAGGTCTTTAAAGCTTGTAATGTAAGGTTAGGGTAAATGGTAGGTAAATTGGAGAAAATGTGAGAGTAAACTTATGCTTAAGGGAGCCATATCCTAAAAAAATTAAACCCAATGTAAAAAAATAAATAATGGCCAATCATCTCCAACTCAACTCAACTCCACAAAAATTCACCAAACAAACCAAACAATAATAACAATATTTTTCAACACTTACAATAAATCACTCATAAAAAATATAATATTATAGAACTGGAGTGAACTAATAAACTTTGAACTCATTCTTTTTTTTCTTTCAAACTTGATACTTTTTTTTCTTCTTTTGGAGCAACCTTCACATAGAACATTTGAACATTGAAATATATTTTTTATTATTTTTCTCTTTTTTTCTTCACATCTCACATTGGAAATTTTTTTTCAACTTTTGAATACTTTTTCAATTTTTTTTTTCCAATCACAAAATCAAAAGAACAATCACTCTTCTTTTATTCTCACATTGTGCAAATAATATTCACACCACAACTTCCTCACCTCACCAACTAATAGCTCCCCCAAGCCAAGCTTGGGACTGGTAATCAATGGGGCTCATATAGGCTTGTAATGTGGCTAAATAATTAATCAATAAAAGGGCACAAGCAACAACATGGGTAGCAAGAAGGGAACAAATGTATCTAGTATCGTCAAAAGGCTACCTAAAAGAACAAATGTCTTTGCCTCCTCAATGTGCATAATATTGAACCATACAAACATTACTAAAAGTTAAAAATAAATACTCAACTTCATTGACATACCAGGAACTAATACACAATTCCTCACCAAATCAACTAGTCAAGCACTATATCACAAGTAGTTGGGAAAAATTTACGCATGTTAAGGTTTCAAGGTAATCAAATATCAAATCATGATCAACTTATCCTCAATATTTATCATCAATAACCAAGAATCAAAATAATTTCAAAATATTTTCATCAAGGGCATAGGGAAGCATGATTCATAATTCTTTGAAACATATTTTTGTATTTTTTTTATTTTTCAATTTTTTTGTATTATTTTCATTTTTTTAAGCAAAATAAAAAAAAAATCTAACCTAAGAATGCAAGCAAATCTATACTATAAAAGAAATAAAACTAAACTAAGAAAGCAAAGAAACTAAACTAAACACACCACACCAAAGAAAAAAAATGAAAAGGGAAAGAAAGAGTACCTATATATACAAGATATTCCCCCCAAGCTAAATCAAACAATGTCCTCATTGGCTTAAAGGGAAACAAGTAATCCAAGTGACTACCCCTCATCATCAAACTCGTATCCACCACCATCCCAAACATTGCAATGCATCACCTTGGTACAATTTTGGACAAAAAAGAAACAAAGTGTTAGAAAGAGTAGAGGCAAAAATGAGTCATGTTCACTATTTTGCTCATAAATTTTTATATACAAATGATAATGCAGTGATTTAATTGAATTGGAAAGTAGACTTGAAGAGTTTTCCAATTATAAGTCACATGCAAAATTTCGTTAAGAAACGCAAAAGTTATAGCGTTTTGAAGTTGGCTAGTTTTGCTGCCGCAATCTCGCGCCCAATCGGGCGAGCGTGGCCCGATCGGGCCAGACACCAAGGTACGATCAGGTGGCTTTTCACCACTTGATGCATGAGATTTCTCCCTACACTCGATTTTCTTCATATTTTCCCTTGATTGAGAAAATATCACTCGATCGGGTGGAACTTTCACTACGGGCTCAAACTCTACAACTTGTTTCTCAATCTCCACTTGTTCATCTTCAAACCTGAGCCCTACACAATTTAACCTCTTTCTATAGCATCCACTTCATCTTTCCAAGTACTAGTTTTTTCCTGCAGAAGATGCAACACAAGATGCCGCCTCCAAGGGATCTCTAACGGGAGCTTGGGGCTTATTAGAAAAATTATTTACATTAACCACACCAATACTACAACACTTTTCCTCTAACATGGAACTTTTAGGGATATTATTTAAATTAAAAGTGATATTATCATCCCCTACACATAATGTAAGTTTACCACTTTTGACATCTATTATTGCCCCTGCAGTATGAAGGAATGGTCTACCCAAAATAATCGGAATTTGCAAATCTTCCTCCATATCAAGAACAATAAAATCAGCAGGTATATAAAATTTACCTACTCTAACAGGAACATCCTCTAAAACACCTAAAGGGTATTTCACCGAACAATCGGCCAATTGCAGAGTAATATTGGTAGCTTTTAATTTACCCATATTTAATTTAGAGCTCACAGATAATGGCATAACACTTACACTAGCACCCAAATCACATAATGCTTTTTCAATCATCAGATTACCAGTATGACATGGAATAGAAAAACTACCCGGATCTTTTAGTTTAGGTGGAGATTTATTCTGTAATATAGCACTACATTCTGTAGTAAAAGCAACAGTCTCTACCTCACTAATAGATCTTTTTCTAGTCAAAATTTCTTTCATAAATTTAGAATATGCAGGAACTTGAGTAATTAATTCTGTGAAAGGAATTGTTACCTACAAATTCTTCACAAACTCTAAAAACTTACCAAATTGCTTATCCAACTTACTCTTTAAATGTCTATTAGGGAATGGAAGTTTGATAGCAAGACCCTGCACATCTCCACTCTTATCCTGGGGTCTACCCTGCAAAGAATTATCAGAAAAGTTAGTTTTACCCTGTAGCCTTGCAGGACTAGTAACAACATTGTTTGGTTTAACAGAATCAAGATTAGCAATTTTTGTTGTAGCAAGTTCATCATCTTTGGGAATAGGAGGCACATCATAGTGTGAACCACTCCTCAGAGTAATTGCATTTGCGTATTCTGTTGTTTGTACTGGTTGTGATGGTAGGGCTTCCTGCTAGCGAGTTTGCAGAGTAGAGGAAAGTTGTGCAATATGAGTATCTTTTATTTTATTATGTGCTATTAACGAGTCGATTTGCGCATCTCTACTCTGCATCTGCTTCTGCATATTAGCTAACATCGTTTTGATTTCTGATAGGCCAGAATCAAATGGAGAAGTAACAATCTGTTGTGGTCTCTGATGTGGAGATTGGTAGTACCTCTATTGTGGTTGTTGTACCTGTGGTGTAGGGTTAAGCACATTCGTACTATTGTACGACATATTTTGGTTATTTTTCAACCCTGTATTGTAGGTGTTAGAGTATGGACTAATTTGCTTATAGGTTTGAAAAGCATTAATCTTCTCAATTGAACTTCTACAGCCATGTGCCCAATGACCTACAAGACCACAATTTTCACAAAATATTGTAGAGTTAGTACCAATAGCAGAAACATTAGCAACGGAAGATGAATTAGAAATTTTAATACTGTTTAGTTTCTGGCTAATAGAAGTCAATTGTGTCTGCAAAAAAGATATAGAATTGACTTGGTGTTTTCCCTTGTTTGCAAACCCTCTGAGATTCCCATATTGGGAATTATGAATAGCCATCTCTTCGACAACATTCCTCGCTATATTCTCATCCAAATTAATAAATATTCCGTTACCTGCAGAGTCCAAAATCATTCTTGAATTATATCCAAGCCCATTGTAGAAGGCTTGGATTATCTGCCACTGTGCTAGTTTATGATGGTGACATTCTCTCTGCAAATCCTTAAATCTTTCCCAAGCTTCATATAAACTCTCATCATCTTCTTGGGTAAAACTTTGGATTGCACTCCTTAACAAAGCTGTCCTCTCTACACGGTAATATTTATTATAGAAATTCAAAGCAAGAGTTTCCCAGTCAGTAATGCTAAGTGCAGTTCTATTCAATCCATTATACCACAATTAAGCTTTACCACATAAAGAAAAGGGAAAAAGAAACTCCCTGATTTGGTCTTGTGTGACCCCAACTTGCCTAATAGTATTGCAATACTGATAGAAATCTGAAGTGTGAAGATTAGGGTCATCACCCTTAGCTCCACTGAATTGCTTTCTTTCGATCATCGTGATAAACTGGGGCTTGATCTCGAATTGCACTCCATCAAGATTAGGTGTGGGAGCAAGATGTGGAAAATCTGTCAGGGATGGCTGCGAATAATCGCTAAGCTTGCGAACAGGAGGAGGTGCTGGTGGTGCAGTCATCTCTAATTCTTGATCTGTACTAAACAAATAAATATGAGAAACTGTCCCAAAGAACTTACGTTCTATGAGACGAAAAAAATAATAATAAATAATAATAATAATCTAGACTAAAAAATTAATCAGAAATAAAAATAAAACCCTTTCCCCGGCAACGACACCAAAATTTGACAAGCTAAAGTCGTATCACCTAATCAAAAGTAATTCCTAAAACCACTAACTAAATAATAGATAGGGAAGTAGAGTCGAAAGGGAAACAAGTCTTTTTATTCCTAATTAATTAAAGCAATCTAAATTATAAAGTTACCAATATATTATAATCAAAGGAAATTAAACTACGGAAATTAAGAGTAAAAAGAGAAAACAATGAATAAAAGACCTAGGGCATAGGTTCACCAATAAATAATATTCCAGGGTAAAACATAATAATCAATCATCAATGCATCAATTAATCAGATCATAATAAAGGGCTTTCGCTACGTATTACAATCACATAATTAATCTATCTGTATTAAATCGCATCTCTCGAATCTTGACTTAACCATTTATAAATTAACCTGCCTATTAACACTAAGCCTAAACATAAATTCTCATCTCGAATCAATATTGCATAACTCATACAATTAAACCAGCGCTAATCTAATTGCATAGTATTAGATCAATCAATAGAAAATTAACCAAAAACATTGACAATCAACAATAATAAATTAACCTTTTATATTAATCATGGATCCCCAAGAACCCTATAATTAAACTACTCATGCGTAATTAAAACTAACCTAATTAAAGAAAGTATGATTAATAAACAATTAAATAAAACAATTAAATTAAGCATATAGAAAACAATAATAAAGAAACTAACACGAAAGCAACCAAAATAAACTATAATTAAAACAAAGAAGCAAAAATTAAACTTACAAATAATGAAATTATCATCACGAAAACCAATAAACTAAATAAGCTAAACTATGAAAAACAAATATCAAAAGTTGAGTAAATACTTGAAACTAAAAACTAAAGTCAACTCCTAAAAATAAACTATCAAATTCCACTTGAACTAAAACTAAAGAAAAGCCTACGTAAAAAATAAAGAACTAAAAATAATAGAAAGCTTACCTAACCCCCCCACCCCACCCCCCCCCCCCCCCACCCCCTCTAATACTCTATCCTTTTTATAAGGAAAAATAACCAAAAAGCTACGTGAATCTGAAGGCCACTAAAGTCGGAAGCCGACTTAAGGAAAGCTGGAGTAAGGCCCAAGGAAATCGAGCCCATCTGCTTAAACGTGCCTCATCTAACCCAGCCAATTGCTGCCTGATTGGGCCCATCCATTTATTACGCCCAACAGGTTTCAACTTGGGCTTTTAGAGTTTATTAGCCCCAGTTTCTTCACTTGCTTGGTTCGTAATAATAACTTGTATAATCTTGTAAAATCTTAGACCTTTTCATATATCGAGCCCTTAATCACCTTACTAAATTTCTTTAACTCGGTCTTGGGATTTAAATATACGGTCATAAAATACCCCCCACCCCACCCCCCCCCCACCCCCCTCTAATACTCTATCCTTTTTATAAGGAAAAATAACCAAAAAGCTACGTGAATCTGAAGGCCACTAAAGTCGGAAGCCGACTTAAGGAAAGCTGGAGTAAGGCCCAAGGAAATCGAGCCCATCTGCTTAAACGTGCCTCATCTAACCCAGCCAATTGCTGCCTGATTGGGCCCATCCATTTATTACGCCCAACAGGTTTCAACTTGGGCTTTTAGAGTTTATTAGCCCCAGTTTCTTCACTTGCTTGGTTCGTAATAATAACTTGTATAATCTTGTAAAATCTTAGACCTTTTCATATATCGAGCCCTTAATCACCTTACTAAATTTCTTTAACTCGGTCTTGGGATTTAAATATACGGTCATAAAATACGCTCCGACTCTAATATCTTCGTAGTGGTTTAATTACTCGGAAATTATCATAAATCTGCAAATTCCTATAAAATAATACCAAACCTACAAAAATACTAGAAAACATATATTAGTAATAAAAATAGCTCCGTAAAGCTCAAATAAGCACAAATATGACCGTGGGACGGGGAATAAAAATATATATAAAATAGATTTATCAGGTGTGCAACCATGCTTTTGAATCTTTATGTTTTTATGCTTGAGGCTTTTAACTCTTTTTTAGCTCTTTTATTATTATTTTTTATTTATTTTTTGTTTTCGCTCACTTTTCTTGCTTTTTGCATTTTTTTTATAAGTGTGGGTAATCTCAATCATGCGGTCTATCACTCACTTGGCATTCATGTTTCTCAGGCATGGTACCGAACACTCGATAAGAGACGCAATTTGAGATGTGTTCATATGAAAGACATGTTCACAACAATGACATTGGAACACTTTCCCTTTTGCACACTTTTTTTTTTTTTTTTTTTGCTATTTTAATTTTTGATACACTCAAGCTTTTGTTCTTTGAAAATTGCAAAATTTACACACCATCCCATCCCAAGGTTAGTTAGATGTGAGTCGAAGAAAGAAAGGTCTATCATTTGACGAGGCTCAAAGTGGTTTATCAAGAAAAGATTGTATATTTGAAGGGTGAAAGGTAATATGATGTGGCTACAAGGGGTGCCTCAAATCATTGGTATACCTTGTGCTTAGTTTGGCATTTTTATTTTTTTAAGCGATGTAATGAAACGATCCTATGCAAGAAAATAAATTCTCATTTTATTAAAAAGGAAAAATAAAAAATCTACAAAGTAAATCTAAGGGAAAAAAAGTGCCTATGCTAGACTTATTGGGGAAAGGAAAAAATGAAGAAGAAATAGAAAAAAGAGGTCATGAAATCTTGTCGTTGAAGCTCGCCTCTTGTCTTGTGTCGTTTTCTTTGTCATCACCCAGTCTTCTTGCTAGCTAGAGGCAATGAGATCTTGTTTGATTCTATGAGATCTTGAATGAGATTTTGAAACCTGTAGTTCATCCGTGGTATGACCGTTTCCTTGATGGTACTTGGAATAAGAGTTGGGATTCCATCTCGAAGATCGATTTTCTGGCGTTGGATCTTCCGTAGGGTCGATAGGTTTGATTAATCCTCGACCATAGAGACGATTGAAAGCAACGTCATAGGTCATTCCAATGGGTGTAAGCTCTCTTTTGGGTTTCTTTTTAGATCCTTGATTATCCATGGCTAAGACATCATTGTGATCAAAGGTACTAACATTGTTACTAGAATGGGCATTTTCGGAAGACGAAGGATTGTCGTTCTTCTTTCCTTTCCAGCCACTGTGGTTACTATTGTTAGTAGCTTTCTGCTTTGCGAGGTCCTCTTCGATTTCAATGCTGATGTCATAGACGGCCTAGAAAGTATTCAAATTATGTTGATATTTTAAATGCTTTGAATACTTCTCTTCAAGATTCTTGATAAACATCCTTACAGATTCTTTTTCAGTGGGCTCCTCAATCATCTTAGCGTAAGTTTCCCTCCACTTATTAAAGAAAGAAGTAAAGCCTTCATTCTCTTTTTGTCTTAGCATCTCAAGTTGTCTATAGTCGGTTTCAACTTGAATATTTCACTTATATCAGTCATTGAAAGCGTTTTTTATTCCATCCCAAGTAGAGATTTTCTCTTTATCAAGAGAAAAGAACCAATGTGGACAAACGGTTTCTAAAGACATTGAGAATAAAGAGTGAAAAATATTCTTATTAATCCCCTTAATGTTCATTATTTTCTCAAATGCCCTTAAGTGGAAGTAGGGATTATCTGTTGCCTTGAACATAGGGATGTCAGTGGCATTGAACTTATGTGGAAGAAGCTCCTTGTCCACTGAGACCCCTTGTGAGATAATGCCCTGGAATCTATAGTCATTGGATATTTTGCTCAAGCTTCCTTGTATGAGCTCCATTTGTTGTTGTTTAAAACGGTCATTGATTTGGAGGTTTAAAGACTTCAACACCTCAGTCACGTCAACCATTTGCTTCTTAAGCTCATTGACTTCTTCTTGACTTGCCATTATCTTCTTAGCTTTTCTTTTTCGACCGACTGGTTTATCAAAAAGTTGAACTTGAACGAAGGTGTTATCCTTGATTAATCGCCCTTCTCTCTTTGACCAAGTACTATGGAAAGGGAAATTAGGGGTAAGTTTTTATTATTTAGTTTGACTCAAGCTCTATTCAACATGGAAGAGAATGTGGAAGAGAATGGGAATAGATTGGACCCCCCACTCGAATGACGAAAAACGACTCATGCATGAACCTAAGACATTGTCATGGTGACATATACAAAGTGTGTGCTAAGACTAGTGAGTGTAGTGACATTTTAAGACTCATGTCATGACCATGTGGCTAGACTATCTGACTAGACTCAAGCAAAGGCTAAGTTAAGACTTCATGTATATGCATTAAATTGGACAAGCTGTGGTATGTAAGTCATAACATTTGATATGTGACTCTGATTGGGATGAAACCAACGCCAAATTACAGATAAAACTCGGGGCTACAGATCCATAGGTTTTACGACTCATAGTTCTTCCTAGAACTTTGGCTATGACTAAAAAAAGTTGACGCTTGTGCAGTATACGGTAATAAAAATCCGGGTTGACTTATAAAAAGTATGACTCGATTTAAGGTATATTTTTTTAGCTCAAATTAATTAATCAATTAATTAAGAAAAGCCCCTTAGTCATTGGTCAGTTTATTAAGACTTATTTACAAACACAACTCAATCCAAAGGATTAGTTTAGTCACATAATAAGTATGCACAAATAAGAGATGCACAAGTAGTCAAGTAGTCACAACAAGATGCAATGAGTTTGCAACCTAACCATGGCTCTAGTTATCTAAAGTTCTGGACATGGGTTATTCAAAGAGGGTCCATGGTTATGAGTCCAGATTCACCGCGTGGAAACCTTACCTTTGGAAGGGTTGGCGCGTGTGGATGGGACCCCGTGAGTTAAACTTGCTTCCATGGTTTGGTGAATTCAACATTCTCGGATGTACCCTTTGTTGCTCAGA